CACGACACTGACAAGGTACGCGATACAGTACGAGACCAAATGCGATTTCAGCACGTCTCCACAGTAAACAAAACAAGCGTTTCCTAGCAACGACAACTGCGCTAAACACTGAGACAAGAAATAAATACACTTACAAGCTGCTTTTAACTTCTGCTGATTGACTGCTTCTCACAAAGTCTATTTCTTTACACTGTTTTGCTGGCGCTTGAACACACATTCCTGTTTATCCCAACAAATGGCCAAGCAAAGCGCACGACACTGACAAGGTACGCGATACAGTACGAGACCAAACGCCATCAAACTGAGTTTAGGACCGAGGGATTCAATTTCTGCCTGTGGCTCTGAAAGGGAAGTTCAGAACGGAGAAGAAAGAGAAAAGCAAAGATCAGTGGGCTGCCACAAGGGTGTTTGACGACTGTGGCTCAGAGCAGCAGTGGAAACAATGCAAACGATTCTTCTGAGAACATCACGCTGCTCCCAGCTCACTACGGTGAATGTCTGTCACAGTGGCAACATGGCCACCGATGCCGCCCACAGGCCAAGTGCATCAAACTATACTTCTACTTTTTTGAAATGCACGCCGTGACTCAGGTGTCCATTACCCGAGTTAAGAACCTGTGTCACCAAGAATGTGAGACGGCAGGTGGCTACAAAAACGTCATTTTGGTACTTGTGCGGCCATCTGAGTGGGTGCGGGCCGTAGAGAAAAGATGTAATCAAGGCAGTAAAAGAAGTTAGACTGAATGGGAAATCGTGTTTATGGTGATTCATTCTTTGTGGAAGGCAAGATGCAAAAAGTTTGTGGTCAGTAAGACATTTTATTGTTTTTGAAAGAAGTGCTCACTAAGGCTGCATTTATTTAACCAGCAATACAGTAAAAAAGCAATACTGTGAAATATTATTACAATTTTGGTATAAGGGTATTTCTATTTTAATAAATGAATTTTTATGAATTTAAAATGTAATTTGTTTTTATGATGGCAAAGCTGAATTTTCAGCATCATTACACCAGTCTTCAGGATCCTTGAGAAATCATTCTAATATGCTGATTTGGTGCTCCAGAGACATTTTTAATTATTATCAATGTTAAAGATGTTATTATCACTTTTGCTGCTTAAAAATTTTGTGGAAACCATGATACAGTTTTTCAGGATTCTTTGATAAAGAGAAAGTTAACAATAACAGCATTTATTTGCTAATTTTATAACATTATAAATGTCTTAACTGTTACTTTTGATCAGTTTAATGCATCCTTGCTGAAGATGCTCATGTATGAATGAAGATTATTTATAGAAGCAGCTATCTGAGTGGGTGCAGACCATAGAGAAAAGATTTAATTATGGGAGTAAAAGAAGTTCGATTGAGTGGGAAACTGTGGGTGTGGTGATTCATTCATTTTTTTCTCAGACTTCACCGAGCTAACATTTCAGTGATTTCCACTGTTGAACATACACAAATTCATCAAGATTTTTTTTAACTCCCTATTTCTATTGCATAAATAACTGGCATACTCTCAAATCTGTTTTCTGTTCTCAAAACTGTCCAGATTGTTCATATGCTTACACTCACTTGAAAGAAAGGGCAAAAGCGATGGAGGAGTTGATCTTGTCAAATGAAGCACTGCTGCAGAAGTATTGCTTTTTACTGTTTTTAATGTCTGCAGGGCTTGAGTCTTTTGCTGCAGTCTCGAGAGGTTTTCAGCGGCGGTGTCATCAACCAACATTCCAAACAATAAGGCTCAAAGACAACCAACTGAACTGAATACAAACAGGTGTGATCTAATTAATGAATAACCATGGTAACTAACTAGTGACGGGAAAATGAAACCAAAGGAAAACAGGAAACAATAATGAGCAAACTAAAAGTCCATGAAAATGAACTGAATGTAATTGTGAAAAAGGTTTTTCAGCAGCCATTACTCCAGTCTTCAGTATCACATGATAATTCAAAAATCATTCTAATATGCTGATTTGGTTCTCAAGAACCATTTTTTGTCATTTTCACAGTTTAAAAATGAAAATAATAGAAAATCTTTTTCATGCCCCGTAGGAGGTCAGGAATTGATTACATTTAAATATATATGAAAATAGAATACAATTTAACAGTTATTTAAAATTATTAAAAATATTTCACAATATTAACATTTTTGACAGTATTTTTGATCAAATAAATGCAGCCTTGATGAACGTTAGAATCTTCTTTCAAAAACATTTTTAAAAAATCTCAAAAATGCTCCAAGCTGTTGAATATAATATTGTTAATAAATTTGATTGGTTGAACTTGACAAATACACTATTATTGCGTAAACAGCAACATTTAGTGTTATTTTAATTTTGCCAGTTGATTTTATATAACATCTGATAGTTTAACATTACTGCATGTATTGATTTAAGTCACAGGACTCCAGTTTAAACCCTATTAGTGCAAATTGTCTATTTCCTATGTTAAATCCTCTGACTGTGTGAGAGATAATCAACACCCAATGAATACCCAATTCCCCCTATCAACATCACCACCATCTTCCTGTCCCTCATACCACCAACACATGTGAAGGCTCACGATAGAAGCGTCACAAGAAGAAGATGAATAAAACTGGAACACTGCTGGCAGTGCGTGATGAGACGCACCTGGTGCTTATTGCATGTCGCCGCAGGTATCATAAATCCCGCATTGTGCCTTTCTCTTTCACAACCTGCTTCCATTAATGCATGTGGTGGCCTTGATGTCCAGGAATGGAGCAGCATAGCTGGGCTGACTTTGAACGATGACTGCCTGTATTCAGCCCTCTAGATCTACTTCCCCTTTCTACACACCCGCTCACCTCAGCAAGGAAATCTTACTCCTTTTCTGTTAGTATCCCCTGGAGCTTCACATCTCCTCCCTAAACACTTTGCTCCGTTCACTTCCTCTTCTTTTTAATTTTTTGTGTGCAATAAAAGCCTTTCAGTGGCGTGCAACCTCTAACAGCATTTTGGAGAACTTGCAGTGCTTTTTTCACAAACACTAGCAAAAATGTTTGCTTTTTGATCTCGCCCCATCTTCGATATCACTGACTTAATGTGACAATAAATAAATTATCTTAAAAAAAAAAAGAAAAATGTACAAAAATACTCACAAAATTGATTCCAATCATATGTTTTGCCTCTCTTAAGCTCCAAGAGCTGATCAGTAGTAAGCTGAACCCGTTGCTAGTAGGTTAATCAGCTCACTCAAACCCATTCTATACATTAAAGATCATATAAATCTATACTATAGTCAATAAGCTGTATCCATAACTTAAATTAATGTTAAAATGTATATTTGCACAAGCAATGAAGCAAATGTGCATGTGAAATTCAGTAATATGCCAACTCCGTATGAATAAACCACTATGAGCACTGCAAAGCATAATGCAATGCAAACCTAATGCAATGAACTAAAAAGGAAAAAATCTGAAAAGAAAATAGGCAATAAATATATATAAAAAAATAGTCTCTAATGTATGAAGAATTCGCAACACAGTACCTACTGTATAAATAATAGCTAATACTAGTATACTTATATGCTATTATTTCAGTCCATGTTTTCATAAGGACAATTTTCACATATACAAAAAGTATCTGGACTGGGGTCAGTAAGACTTAAAAAAATTTTTTTTTGGAAAGATTTCTCCTATGCTCACCAAGGCTGCATTTATAAAAAAAATAAATAAAAAAAACACAAATAAATAAATAAATAATACAGTAAAAGCAGTATGTGAAAAAATATAATTTAATATAATTTGGCACTAATGCTATGTTACCATGGTATAATGTTGAAAAAAGTTGTGCTTAAGTTTTGCAGAAATTGTGATATATTTTTTTCAGGATTCTCTGATGACTAGAAAGTTCAGAATAACAGCATTTATTTAGTTTTGTAACATTGTAAATGTGTTTACAGTCAATTTTGATCAGTTTAATGCATCCTTGCTGAATAAAATGATTAATTACTTTTAAAAAATCTTACTGACCCCAAACTATTGAACAGTAAACAGTAGTGTATTAATAAATGTTTTTGCGTATATATATATATTTATATATATATAAACAAATATATATTAACAAAAAAGCACATTATTGTCATTTTGCACATTATTTTTTAACTAAAATATTGTTTTAATCAACTACAATTATGTGATTTCAGTCCATGTATAATGGACAAAAAAATTATTAATATTAAATAACACTAATGTAATTTAATGGACATTTCCATTTAAAAGACAAAAACTACAACTAGGCCCTAAAACAAAATGTGTAAAATGAAGAATGATCTTAAGATAAGCTTTTTAATGAGACTACTGTCTAGTGACTATGTTTCAATTATCTTTCTGATGAGACTGATAACAAAGTACAACTGTAGCTTCACTACAGTACATCCATACAGATGTCTCTGAATTTACATGCTTGTGTCTGGTGCTTGTTTTGTGAAAGGAAGAAACTACAACTGTGGCAGTTCAACAGTCAGCGAAGAGCATCTTCTAAATATGACATGATAACCAGATAAATGCATAACGCAGTACCTGACATTGGCAAGTTAGACGGGCTGGTTTGTTGCAATACAATCTTGTTATATCAAAGAGAAACACCACTTGAGATTGCAGGCATTGAGATGATTCCGCTTTGGTTTGTAAATCGCTTTGACCTCGCCAGCACGGTGAATGCAGTCTTCAGAAAATGCCACGGCTTTACAAATATTGACACCTAAGTGTTGGGAATCATATAAATAGTCCTTATTCAATGATTCAGTATGCTCAATTTCACCCCAAAAAAGGCTGAAGGCCTTTGGGGAAATGAGAACATTTCATTTAGATGTCTCATTACACCGGCATTCGTTGTTGGAACTAATGTCTTACCAAATTACAGATTTTCCACTTAATTTAGATGCACTACCCTTCTGATACATCTCCAATCATCAGTGTCTTTTCATTTGTCTCTTCATTTGTTTCATTTCTCCACACCCAAGTGTTTCTCTCTCTCTCCTACCTGATTCTTCATCAGTCTTGTGTTCGTTTTCAGAGTCGGTGAGAGTGAGAACCGAGTGGTCAGGGCTGGAGAGGCAAGAGCTGCGGTGGGACTTCAGGGGCTGCCCGCTCCACAGCTGGACGGCACGCTCCGGAGTCATGACCCCCTCGGGGTCCGAGTCGGCGTCGGATCCAGCGTTCAGACTGTATCTGTCCTGCAGCAGGCTTATATCAGAACAATATACAGTGGATGACGGAGCAGGCTCACACATGCCCAGATCAGCCAATGCGAAGCTCCCTGTAATGAGAACATAAGTATTAATGCTCGAAAACAAGAAAGAGTGTGTTCGCTGCAAGGCATCCCAGACTCCTTAAAGAGCTGGATGACTCTAAGAACTCTCTTTGCTAAATTACATAATGACAACACAATCTTCATTCTAGCAAGACTTCATTTTAGTGTGTAAATTAATTTAAGCTTTGTATTGTCCTAGACATCTGCATTCAGAAAAGCAGTGAAAGGAATGAATGTAAATTATGTTACGGTGGGATAAAAGGCCAATTCACACTGCAACAACAGACGACGACAAACGACAACAGACATGTTCGTCAGGTTTTGTCTGATCAATGTGTAACCCCTCCGGTGTCTTTTGGTGTTGGTTGGTGCTTGTAAAATAGAAACTTAATATGAATAAATTACTACAGTAATTTTTTAATTATTAGTATTACTTCTTATTTTTCCATATTTTATATCAAACTATATAATACTATTAAACTATATATATAATACTATTTTACAGCCATTTGCTAATAAACAAAAAGGCAGTAAATGTTTTTAAAAAAATAGGCTACATACATAAAATTTAATATTTAATTTTATATATTTTTAAAATATAAACTTTGAATTATATAATACAAGTAAACTAAACTAACATGAAATTATATGTATATAATTAGATTTTTGTATTGTAAAGAAATGCATATAAAGACACTGTTTATTTGTTTATTTAATTTTAACTGATTTCATAAGCTAAGCCTTTTTTAAGATCATGAGAAACATTTATACAGTCCAATGTGTTGTAGTACATATTAATTTATCTCATAGTATATATTCATTTTAAAACAGTTACAAGTCTAGATATATGAATTCAGTTAATTTACATATGAATTAATAAGGGAACGACTATGCATTAATGAGGTAAACATTAAACATTAAAATAAGGTAAACAAGCTTGTTCGGGAATGAGGAAGATCCATAAATCTGTGCGCTGCATAAAACCATAGCAATTAATGACTTCAAAATAATGACTCACTATTACATTACAGCGATGCAAAGCAGGAAACCACCAATATTTAATAATAATTTCATAAGCAGCTAAAAACATTATGCTGAATGCGCTTTGCATCCAACTACTCAGCAGGCTGGAGGAGAATTTTGCAAGAACAACCTATTGAGGAATTGTATTTTGCACAAATATGGGGGAAAAGCACAGTGCACATCCACATAATATGATTGCACGACACAATAGTTAATGAGGGAGAACATAATAGAGGGCACACAAGGATTTAAATAGGAGCAGGATGTGTTGGGGACAGAGTCTCGTCCTGCACAAAGAAACATATCTACGCAGTGCATACCTGACACGTAGTAACGAACGGCAACAGGGGGCAGCTCCACGTAAGCTGTGAGTAAGAAAAGAATGTCCGTCCATCATCTAATAACATCACTCGCAACGCACTGCGAAAGTTGCTCCGCACACAACAAACCTGCTCCATATAACAGAAACTCCCTGGCTGTTTTTATGTGTGGAAAAGTCATGCGGAGCACTCTGCCTCTCTGCTGTCGTGTGTCTACTCCAAAGGGAAAAATCTTCCAAGGTGTAAATTTGAGATAGTGTCTAACTGAACAGCCAGAAGGCATTATAGGAAAAAAAAAAAGTCTCCCCAAAGGGCCTACTTTATAAAAAAAAAGGCCAAAAACCCAGCCTCCTCCAGCACCTTGTCTGTTTAGACACAATTTCCCCCTTTTGCTCAGACACCTTGGACATTAAAGTGAATATTGCTTTTCAGCAGGTGCTAAAATCAGAGAGAGTGGCAAGGTCATTTGTTGAGGGAGGGGTTACCATGGTAACATAGCATTTTTCGCATGCCGTCAGGTACAGTGAAGCGTTTTGGAAAAATGCATGAAAATCTCCCTTCACTTCAGTCATCTCTTTTCAGGCCTCAGACACGCCCTGTTTGACAAAGAGCCCCGCTGTGATGGAGAAGCAAATGTTAACACAGCCTGCTAAAAGCATGTCCCATCAAAACATTCCAGGATACAAAAAACAGGATACATGCTGTTTCAAAACCTCAATGATTTGAAATGTTCACATCTTCATGTTCACAGAGCAAAGAGGATGGGTCCTCAAGTGTATGGTGCAAACTGTCAACACATATCAACTGTTCTTGCAGGGTGAACTTTTTTTTTTCTGCTCATATTCAGATGAGACAGATAGATTTGGCCGAACATATTCTACAGCCAAAATAGTTTTCAGTCAAAAGGGTTTTATGTATTTAATGAATGAATGAATGAATAGACAATTTTCTATGATTTTTTTATAAAGTTATATTTTACTAAATAAAAATACAAATTACTTGTTAAAATTAAACAAAAAATAAAATTAACAATAACTAAAAATAACACAATTACACAATATAATTAAGTAGGTAGAGTTGGTGAAACAATCTATTTATGTGTTTAGCCAAACCAGCAGAGGACAAGCCTTAATTAAATTAAACATGAATGAATGAATGAATGAATGAATGAACGAATGAACGAACGAACGAACGAACGAACGAACGAACGAATCAATCAATCAATCAATCAATCAATCAATCAATCAATCAATCAACAGTTTTAAATTGTTTATATAAACTTCTAAAAACAACTACTAATAATAATATATACTAATAATATATAAAATTAAATGGAATAAAAGTAAGCAATACAATTAATCAGTCGGTGAAACAATCAACTTATGTTTTAGCCAAATCACCAGAGGCCAGGCTTTAATGAAATAAAATAAAATACTTTCAAATTATTTATATAAAATTATTGTTACTATAATCATAAACAATTACTCAAATAAATGAATAAATAAATAATAAATATATTAATAATTTTGATGATCGATAGATAGATAGATAGATAGATAGGCAATCTCACAGTATACTTGCACACTGCTGTACTGAATAGCAGTATGCATGTATAGCTGGGCCTCTCATGGATGGGCCTTTTTCTCATTTCCTGCTTGAGAAACAAATTCTCTATCATAAGTCAAACAGTCACTGTGTAAATGATGCCTTCTAAAAAGGCTAGACCTTCACAATGAAGCCTATATTACTTCATAAATGTCAGCCTATTTCAATAAATCCTCCGACCTTTCTGAATTCCATAGCAGATGATTTGGTCTTAGAGCATTATTGTCTATGTTGCACTTCTTTCTTTTTTGTGAAGCCAAGCAGTCGTGCTTTCCATCTCCAGAGATCAATACCATCAGCGTACAGAGGATGCAGTCAGCATGCCCTGAATAATGTCGGCCCGCTTGACTGAACTGAAGAAAATAGCTGCTGTGGAAGAGAGAGCTTCCCTGATTCCTCTAGCCGCAGCACGGGTCATTTGGGTCATTTTGTTGTGTATTGCTCAGTGCTTGAGCTGACTGTCTAACGACTGTTTCCTTGTCTGGGTCTCTTATTCATGAGAGCTCCTCTGTCTGGCTTTCCTCTTTAAACGTCTGGGGTGACATCAGAGCATCGCATCCTTTTGTTATGCCACCTTTATTATTTATCCCTCTGCTTTCTTAAAGGGGTCATCGGATGCCCATTTTCCACAAGTTGATATGATTCTTTAGGGTCTTAATGAAAAGTCTATAACAATCGGCGCATTCCATTCAAAATTAAAGTAACGTTAATCCTCTGCTTCTTCAGCAGCTCAGATGTCAGGAGTAAATGACGACTGCTATATTATTACATCCAACAACAAAAATAAAATCTCAAAGACAACATACACGATGACCTGAAGGGTATGTGTGTTAATTCAAAGAAAGAAAAGAGTCAATTTTTACTGTGCACTGTGGATTTCCTATGGAAATTGTAGTGAGAAAGGTGTTTCTCAACATGCCATTAGGTCGTAAATGGATCTGGTCTAGCAGAGGTGTCGTGGTTGCCATGGGTACCAGGGGGGGGCCTGGTGTCGTTGCAGACATCCTGGCATCCAGTTTATTGGGTGAGGGGACTGTGACGATTTGTTAATCTAATGAATAACTGATTTGTTAAATCAAATGAAAAATTGTGTGTTTGATTGGTCCAGACGCTACATATATGACAGATTATCACAAGATAAGCATTCAAGGTTAACATCTATATGTCAGGAAGATATTTTCTACATCCACATAGGGTAATCCTAACATTTCACTTAAATTACATAATAGTATAGTACTATATGTATTGTAAGCATTTGTTTAATTCACACCACATTATTTCCATGTTGAGCTGTGACCAGGCCATATGAATTAGAAAATTATTTTCATAATTCATGTCTTTCCCAGGGTTTAGTTTGCAGTTCACTAATTCATTTGTGGCTAATTGTTTGCCTTGACGCAAATTTAGCACCTTCAGTCCACAGCTGCTGACAATATCCCTGTGTTCTCGGATTTAGAGAGCATATGACTAAATAATTTTTAACATCTTACAAAATGGCATTACTCCTTCAATTAAAGTCATAATGTATTCAAATATTAAAGAGCTATAATCTTTACACAGTAAGTTTTAAACATGTCTCGTTTCTTGAGAACGACATGGAACATAACCCAACAGACACACGCAGTGACATGCAAAGAAAAAATTATGTTGTTACTGTACATCATTTTGTTGAAAACATTAAACTGCCTGCAAATTAAATGTTGACATGATGTTTAAGTGCACCGTTCAGTCCTCCTTTTAATTTTTTCTATAATCTATAATATAACCAAACAAAAATAATGGTGCCAATACTCAACAACAAAAGAGCAAAAATGTGTAAAACATTCTAAGGTGAATTCACTAAACTGCTGTGCATGCGCACGCGCACACACACACACACACACACACACACACAAAATCACTATCTAGAGTAGGCTACAGGGACAATCCCTCCGGAATAACCTCAGGTAAAGCGTCTTGCTCAAATGCACAAAGACGATAGCTCACCAACAACACTGACATTTCCAGACCTTTAACCATTTTTCCTCCAAGGTACACTCACAATGACTGCCACACATG